AATGTGGTAAGTATATTAGAAAAAAACATTTATTATAGAACATGGGGGACCTATATAATTAAATACTGTTCTACTTATAAACAAACTCAAATCAGAATGGATTTCATCGAGACACCAACCACGTAAGTAAACATCAATATGTTATATCAATTATTTCTCTTGATCCTGACCTATTTCATCGTCTTTTCACGAATGATATACTGTTATCTTAATGGGTTTTCTTATGTTTTTGCCATAAAAATGGGTTGTATAAGTCTTTTACAAGAATATAATAAACTAACATGAGGCAAACTTTGTTTGATATCTACTGATTTCTACATGGAGCTACGGATAAATACAAAAATGAATATTTGATAGATTATTAAGGGGGAAAAAGACAATCTATAGAGAAACTTATATAGAATTAAAGTTGTTAAGCAAATTATTTGGTGAAATATATTATTATTTTACCGGTTTTTTTAGATGTAAAGGATGTGTCATCATATTTACTTAATTAAAGAAATGTTAAAAGGGAATGACTAAAATTAGGCCACCAAACAAAACAATGAGAAATGGAGAAAAAGGGCAACAACAACCACAGTAGCGAGGATCCATCGCACACCACTCGTCTCACCAAACCCTCTTTTCTTCTTCAGAGCTCATCGGGTCCCACTTTACATTTTCACCAAACCCTTTCCTCCTCTTGCTGTCCAAATCAGACACAACTTCAAACACACAAACCTAATCAATACACGTCATCGAATGAGAGAGATCATTAACATTCATTAATATATTACTCATTTAGGAATATTAGAAAAGAAGATGGATCTTCAATCATTCGAGATCTACCCATATTGATGGGGAAAAAACTTACATCAAAACAGGTGGTAGTTTAGTGTTTTGTCTGTGTGTATTGGTTAATTAAGTATTGTTCAAGGAAATACATATATCATGAAATGATTTTTTTTCTTTTTCTTTTCTGAATTAATACCTCAAATGGCCTAATAATGAGAAGGCTTATATTTGTTATAGTTTAAGCTTTTTAGGATTAGGACAGTTCGGACCTCTAAACTATTACTAGGGACTGATGGTAAATGCAGCGTTGGACCATATGTATAACTTCTATAGACCAATACTGGTATGTATGATTATGTATGTTTGATTTGATATAACAAAAACTTTCTGGTGCATATGAATTTTGAGGACATTAGATAGTGATTCTGCTGAGTTTTTAAAGCTCATGAATAATGCGTATATTTTCTAAAGGATTAGCTCATGAATAAATGGGTAATGGAAATCTGATAAATCATAATTTTTGACAAGTGAGATACAACTTGTAATTTGTTTATCTCCATAACTTACACCCGCAACGGCTGATATATGTCATGATGTGACTGGTTTCCTTGGTTAGAAGAAAAAAATTAAAACTACTCCACATTCTGCTAAATATACACCAGTCAGAGTAATTATTAAGCTGAAATGTATAATTCAGGTGGAAGTTGTGCTGTATTTTGTTTTCCCACCACTTTTTGGATGAGAGAACATTTACTCAACTTTCTCTTAAAACTTAGCTGTCAGGATTTAAACAAATATAACACTATTACTCCGAATACTGTATATGGAGTGAACTAAAATGATGTTCATTTATCGGTTTACACTCATTTTTTGAATGTTATTATATCCAAAACCGCTCCATATCCTTTCACACTTTTGAACATTTTTTTTTGTTTAAGTCGTCTAAAACAGAAACGAGGATAGCTTTGTCAGGGGTTGTGGTTCTTAGTCTATTGGGCTTGGTTCAATTTCGGCTCGCTTTTATTTCATGGGCTATTTCCTTTACGGTGGGTTTGTAGAGTGCTTTTCTACAATAATAATTCTTTTACTCATTAACTAGAAGTGGAAGTATTAATTTAAGGAGTTATCTTATTCGAAATCAATTCCATAGGTTATATACAATCTTGAAGATGCGTAATAGAGCCATATGTGCATAAATATTAAAATGTTGGAGGTGAATCGCCTCCGGATTGGTTTGGTTTGTGGTCACTTGCTTAACTCGTATGCAGTTAACTCATAAAGTCATCAGAAGAAGGTGATTTAGATGGTAGAGACTAGAGAGATTTTTATTGGTGTGATCTTCTAGTTCATGAGTTCCAAGTCAATGATAACAATTTGTGAGCTTCAGAAAAAGCTAAAGCTTTTGTGTTCTTAATCAGAAACTCACTACTACTAAAGTCGATACATGAGGAGGCGATAAAGGAACCTTTATAGAAAAAGTTTTATAAGACCCATTAGCCATATGTCCATGCATACAGATCATTCGGATATATATATATATATATATATATATTTATTTATTTTAGCTAATTCCTATCTGCTGGACTTGTCTTTCAACTTATAATAACACTATGTATAGTCTCTTTATCCGAGATTCTGATTTCAAGTATGCCTTCTTACTTGTTTTTACGATTTCAAATTTAAAATGATTAAAAAAAAAGTTATCTTCTACTTTATAAATAAAAGTCGAGAATAGAATCCAAACAACATGTTTTTTTTTTTTTTTTTGGAACATTCCAACAACATGTTTACAAAAGAAATGGGGATGTTCACACAGTAAAAGAACCTTGTCATGTAGTGTTTGCCTATTGTATACAACTTAATAATACAGATGAACCAAATGGAGAAAATACAAATTTAGTTTTACTTAAGTTTAATTATATATAAAATAAATTCGAAGATAATTAGGGTGTGGAACTATATTGCATGGAAACGGAAACAGATACGTGGAAGCAGAACGTTTCGAAACGCGGAAACGTTATTTAAAAAATATATAGAAATAGAAACGTATATATATATTAAGTATTAAAAAACTAATTATAAGTAGAATATTTAAATGAACAAAATCTAATATATAATTTTTACATAATTATTAAACGATAAAAATTAAAATATGTAAAGTCAAAAATTTAAAAGATTTTCTTTATTATCAATTTTATTAGTTTCATTAACTAATCTATCTCTAATTCTAATTCATCCAGAGAATAATTTTCAAACTTAATAATTTCAAAATTAATCTTAATTACCAAATCAAAATATTTATTATTTACTATAAATAAGTAAATTGATTATTTAATTTAATTTTTATAATTATTTATTTATTCTATAAAAACAAGAAATTAGTTTTTATCTTTTTTCCAAAATAGAAACGCGTGTTTCTAAAATAGAAACGCGTTTTCAAAGTGTTTCCAAATTAGAATTTTTAAGAAATGTGATTTTTCGTGTTTCCAACGAGTTTCCGAGAGTTTCGGTTTCCGAAACGTTTCGAAAATGGGAAACGTACCTCGAATAGAGTTTCCATGCAACCTAGGTGTGGAATACTGAAACCTATTAAAAAAAAAAAAAGAAGAAGAAGAGAAGATTCTATCGCCTAATATTGGGAATGGCAAAAGAAGCATACATTTCATTAACCGATGCGACAATGTTTTAGGAAGACGATAAAACAGTTAAACACTCAGATCTCAAGTTTGTCTAATCTCCCTAAAACCGATAGTGTCCTCTCTTCTCAACGTTTGACCGTTTCCTAGCTAACACTAGATGATATTTTTGATTCTCAGTGCAAAAATATGATCTACTTAATTCTTATTCAGTTCATTCATGAAATTTTTATTGTTATTTCAAAAATACGTTTTAGGTGGTTTTCAACCACAGCATATTGATCTGAAACCGAAAATAGTATACATGAACAGTTATTTTTTTAATAGCAAAAATGGTGAAAACACTATTCGAGTATGATCAATGGCTCAATGCCATTTAGAACTCTCAACTTTGTTCTCCTAAAAAAAAAACTAATCCGTCTACATGACACTGAGAGGTTAAACTCCAACGAGAAAAAAAGTTCTGGCGATGTGATTTATTTAAATATTACGAATATATATTTGGCAAACATTTGAAAATAATCTGCGATTGTACAATTAAAATTGTATTTGAAAACCAGCTAGTATCTTTTACAAACTTCTTTAAAGATAATATTAATTATGAAAATATAGATTTCAACGTTTTATTAAGATTTAGTGATTAATTGGTTTAGTCCTGAAACAATATCATACTAAACGATTGTAATTCGAAATATTTAAAAATTTCGAACTTATCTTAAACTTTAACCTTTTTTTTTTTAAGATTGAGTGGGATTAGTTGGATCATACATATCTAAATTTTGTACAACTTGAATAATACATTACTGAATTCTATCTACGGGATCATAAAATTTGATCATGCTTTATGTAAATATGTAATTCTATCTACGAGATCTTTTTACCACTTTTCTTTGACAGTTATATATATATATATATATATATATATATTTTTTTTTTTTTTTTAAATTACGATACAGATACTTTATATAATCTTATATGATTATATCTGTTGACAAAACAAAGTCAGGTATATCCGAATAAATTAACGGAATCTCGACTATAATTAAGATATTTATAAGATTCATGTACATCGTATGATATTCAGAATCACGTAGTTATAGTTTTACAAGGTTACACAATTCTTTAATGAATTATCTGAAAAATGAAAAACTGAAATTGATCATCAAAATACAGAAGGATTAGCTTTGATCACTTTATATTTTTTTTTTATATTTAAAAAATATAATTTGGATCGTTATTGTTAATTGTTTCCCCTAAAAAAATATACATGTGGATTTAAAAAATTTAAAATTCTAAGAGACAGAGAGATAAACCTGCTCTTCAAGAAAAAGAGAATGTCGCTCAATAAAATCCGGAAAACACAAAACGGCATCGTTTTCATAGAGACTGCGAGTCGTAGAGAATCCTCCACAATAAGGGAAAGTTGGACCATACATCATTTGCGTAGCGATCTGGACCATTGAATTAAATTTAAAGCGATGCGAACCGTTGATGTAAAACTCGAAGCCAGTAGAGTCCAGTCGAAGATGGACCCCACAGTCCACCTTTAACACCTTACCTCTATGCTCTCTCTCTCTCTCTCTCTCTCTCCACTGTTGCAAGCTGCTCGCATAAAAAGCAAACACTTAACAAGGAAGAAACACACTCATCTCTTCACGCCCCCTAAATTTTTAATTTTTATCTTTCTGTTTTTTTTGGGTTTAGGCTTGATATTTGCTTTTAGAATCGTTTTCAGTGTCTCAGATCTCTCTAAGTGTTTAAGACAATTTCAGGTCCTGTTTCTGGGAATTTTCATTTTTTTTTTCCACTTTTCTGAGATCACACATTCACTTTTCTTTTTTTTCTCTTTGTATCGCCATTTATATGTTTAACTGTTGCAAAGTGTTCTGTCTGAGCAAGAGATGGTGAGAATCTCACTGCTTTTGTTGTGTCTACTGGTTTCAACTCTTCTCTTCACTTCCTCATCAGCCCAACAAGCTCCAGGTAATTGAACTGTTTTTTGGTTTAGTACTTTTTGATGCTCTCCTCTTCGAAATTAGTTGTAAGGATTCTTAGTTTATGTGATGTAAAACAAGGGTTTTAAATAGAATCTCTCTGAAAGTTTTTGCCTTTTGCTGATAAATCTCAAGAGCTTCTGGTATGGTTAGACCTTGAGTTGAGATTTGTGTGTTAAGTTGGATTGAAGTAGAGAAAAGAATGAGTCTTGGTGGTATTTTGAAGTGAGTTCTAACAAAAAGAATCAATTTTTTGCTTTTTTTTTTTGTTTTTGTTTGACAACGGCAGCTTTTGTGAGCTTGGATTGTGGAGGTACAGAGCCATTCACTGATGAACTTGGACTTAAATGGTCACCTGATAACCATCTTATCTATGGAGAAACCGCAAACATATCGACCTCCTTTAACGAAACAAGAACACAGTACACGACTTTGAGGCACTTCCCTGCTGATTCAAGAAAATACTGCTACAACCTCAGTGTCATAAGCAGGAACCGGTACCTCCTCAGAGCCACTTTCCTGTACGGCGACTTCGACCACAACAATGTGTACCCCAAATTCGACATCTCCCTAGGAGCCACTCATTGGGCGAACATTGCCATCTCCGAGGCCTCGACGATTGAAATGGCGGAGCTGGTGTTTCTTGCTACGAGTTCCAGTGTCAGCGTCTGTCTGTCGAATGCCACGACGGGTCAGCCGTTTATCTCCACCCTTGAGCTTAGGCAGTTGAATGGCTCGATGTATACGACCGACTTCGAGGACCGGTTTTATCTGAGTGTCGCTGCACGGATAAACTTCGGTGCAGAAAGTGAAGATCCAGTGAGGTCAGTATGTAGTTCAAGAATCTGTTTTCTTTTGTGACCACATTGTGATTTTTCTGTGAGTTTTAAAGAAGACTGAGTCTTGGTGAAATTTGCAGGTATCCTGATGATCCGTTTGATAGAATATGGCAATCTGATCTGCTGAAGAAGGCTAACTATCTGGTGGATGTTGCTGCTGGGACCGTACGAGTGTCGACCACGTTGCCAATCGAAGGCTATGCAGATGACTTACCGCCTCAGAAGGTTATGCAGACGGCAGTGGTGGGGACAAACGGGTCTTTGACTTACAGGATGAATCTTGAAGGCTTCCCTGGTTTTGGTCGGGCGTACACATACTTTGCTGAGATCGAGGATTTGGCCGAGGACGAGTCGAGGAAGTTCAGATTAGTTCTACCAGATCACCCTGAGATAAGCAAAGCCATTGTTAACGTCAAGGAGAATGCTCAGAGAGCGTACCGGACCTACGAGCCTGGCTTTAATAATCTAACCCTTCCGTTTGTGTTGAACTTTCGGTTTGCCAAAACCGCTGATTCTTCTAGGGGACCTATTCTGAATGCCATGGAGATCAGCAAGTATCTCAAGAAAAGCGATGGTTCGATAGACGGTGAGCACAAACTAGCCCCCACCTTCATCTACTAAGTGTTGTTGGCGTCACATTTTGACTCTCTTAAGATGGATTTGCTTGTATTGCAGCTACTGTTATGGCTAATATAGCATCTCTGTATTCATCAACTGAATGGGGACAAGAAGGCGGCGATCCATGTTTGCCCTCGCCGTGGTCGTGGGTGGAATGTAATTCGGATCCACAACCAAGAGTTGTTGCAGTGTAAGACAGTTTAAATCTATCAGCTTTTCTTGAAGCATGAACGTATCTCAACTTCTATGTTACTTTTCCTTTGCAGAAAGCTGTCGAATATGAACTTGACCGGGAATATACCTTCTGACCTGGCGAAGCTGACTGGTTTGGTTGAGTTGTAAGTTATTTATCTGTTTAAGACTTTTGAATCTTGGGAAATATATACAGAGATATTCATGTTACTGATGATGTTGCAACTTTTGTTTAATGGCAGATGGCTCGACGGGAACTCTTTTACCGGTCCAATACCGGATTTCTCTCGATGCATAAACCTGGAGATAATGTAAAAAAAACATTTTCTTTTTAAAATTTTCTGTAGCCTTTGTATATAAATAGATGAATGGACTAAAGATGTTTGCTGTGGCAGACACCTCGAGAACAACCAGCTAACCGGAAAGATCCCTTCGTCGTTGGCAAAACTCCCAAATCTTAAGGAATTGTAAGTTACTTAGAAAGGATTTTTGTTCTTGATATATTAAACCGTATGGCATGAAAATGGCTGTGTAACCTGCATGATGGTTACAGGTACCTGCAGAATAATTTGTTATCTGGAAAAATACCATCAGTGGCCGAAAACGTGATCTCGAAGTAAGTATTTCGTTCCATTCAAGTACGGAGTCAAACAGCTTTTGCATAAATCGATCAGTACACTCATGAATTCTTCTCTCTCTCTGTAAATTTGCAGCTTCTCTGGGAACATTTATCTTTCGAAACGTGGAGATAAAGGGAAGAAGCTCGGTGTGATCATCGGTGCATCAATAGGTGCTGCTGTTCTGCTAATCGTCACCATCGTTTCTTGCATCTGCATGTGCAGAGGGAAGAAGAACAACAAGATGAGGAAAACTTCTGGTATTTTTTGTTATTCTCTTACAAATAGATGTTGTTTTGCTTTGTGTATCATGCAGGATTCTTGGGTTTGGATTAATGTACTTGCCTTTTTTCGTTTTTGGTTGCTTTCAGCGGAGTTAACGAATCGTACCTTGCCTGTTCAAAGAGTGTCATCTACTTTGAGTGAAGCTCATGGAGACGCTGCGCACTGCTTCACACTTTATGAGATTGAGGAAGCCACAAAGAAATTCGAGAAGAGAATTGGCTCGGGAGGATTTGGAATCGTATACTACGGGATAACAAAAGAAGGGAAAGAGATTGCTGTAAAAGTTCTTGCAAATAACTCATACCAGGGAAAGAGAGAGTTCGCAAACGAGGTATAGATACGCCTTAATATAAACCCATATCAAGATGATATCGAGCTTTTGTTTTTTTGGCTTAGGAGGTAACCTCTGAGTGATTATTGCTTGTTCAGGTCACGTTACTCTCAAGGATACATCACCGGAACCTTGTGCAGTTTCTTGGGTATTGCCAAGAAGAAGGAAGAAACATGCTTGTGTACGAGTTCATGCACAACGGGACGTTGAAGGAGCATCTTTACGGTAACATATCTTCTCTTCTTACGTTGTTTATTGCAGCGTTTTGGTGTTTAACGTTATGCTAACTAGCGTTTTCTTGTTTTCCAGGCGTTGTACCGCGTGACAGGAGAATCAGTTGGATTAAACGGCTTGAGATAGCTGAAGATGCAGCCCGAGGTATGGTGAAACCTTCACAAAAACAAGATAGAAACCTTTCTTGGTCTCTGCCATCTTTAATATTTGATTTTCTTGGTTTTGGTTTAGGGATCGAGTATCTTCACACGGGGTGTGTTCCAGCGATCATACACCGGGATCTCAAGACGAGTAACATCCTACTCGATAAACACATGAGAGCAAAGGTTTCGGATTTCGGACTGTCGAAATTCGCAGTCGACGGAACCTCACATGTCTCCAGCATTGTCCGTGGCACAGTTGGATATCTGGACCCTGAGTAAGCTATAGACGTAAATATAGCGCCAAGAAACTTCCACATATCTTATAACTGAAACTAACATATTTTATTTCTCTTCATTCGATGTTAAAAGGTACTATATATCGCAACAGTTAACGGAGAAGAGTGACGTATATAGCTTCGGCGTCATCCTTCTTGAGCTTATCTCCGGACAAGAAGCCATATCCAATGAGAACTTCGGTGTTAACTGCCGGAACATAGTCCAATGGGTGAGTGTGTTGTTCATTTCTTGCAGCTACTTCTTTGTTTCGTTTCCGTCTCTCTCAACCGGTTAATAAACAACCGGTTTGGTGTAGGCCAAGATGCATATAGACAACGGGGACATACGTGGGATCATCGATCCAGCGCTAGCGGAAGACGATTACAGTCTGCAGTCGATGTGGAAGATCGCGGAGAAGGCGTTGCTGTGTGTGAAACCGCACGGGAACATGAGACCGTCGATGTCGGAGGTGCAGAAGGATGTTCAAGACGCGATTAGGATCGAGAAGGAGGCGTTGGCCGCGAGAGGCGGGATATCGGACGAGTTTTCCCGGAGCTCGGCGCACTCGTCGTCTCTCAACATGGGGACGACGTACGACCTGGCTGGATCGCAGAACTATGTCTCCATTGATGATTCTGTCTTGCAGCCAACACCTCGGTAGTAGTAACATTCGGCGGCGGCTTTGTACAGATGTCGTCTGGTTTCTTTGATTTTTCTTAGTTTTTGAGCTATAACACTACATTTTCCAATTTTTTTGGAGACTCGAGCTTTACAAGAAATGCTTCGAGCTGGGTTTTTGGTTTTGGTTTTTATTTTTATTTTTATTTTTTCACTTCCTTCAGTCTTTTAATTTGGGATTGTGAATTATTATGTTTTCATTTAAATGGTTTTTACATTTTCGACTGATTATGGTAGTGTGGAAAACACAAACGCCAAATACAGAGCAAGAATTCTTAAATTCAGAGTACAGTAGTTTAAGTTGTTTTTCTTTTTTGCTTTTCTAAATTATCTGCATTTGTATCAAAATGATTATTTGATTTTAAATACGAATTTGTGTATACGCTGTATTAAATTTAACAAAATCAAATCAACACAACAATAACACTAAAGTCTCTCATAGCTTGACATTTCAGTTTTTTCAAGTTTTATAAACATTACACATCAACAAAAATAATCACCAATCAAAACATTTTATTAATACATCTCATCTACTTATTTTAATTTTTAAATTTAAATCCATTAAAAACCTAAATATTTTTTTTATTAATTTTTGTTTTATTTTTTACCAAACTCAAACCCAAATAACTAATAACAGCAAATAAAAAATATTATTTTATTATTTACCAAATCCAAACCCAAATAATAAATAAAAACAAATAAAAAAATTAAATCATTGTTTTCTTTTTTTTTTGCCAAAACCAAATCCAAATAATAAATAACAACAAATAAAAAATAAAAAAATATCTCTTTGTTTGACATAAACGTATATGATTGAAAAAGTGTAGGCTCGGCATCAACTATGTTTCCATGACAATAACGCAAAAAGCTTTATGTTATAAGAAGCTCACACATCACCAAAAATTTGAACCGATAAAAACATAACAATTTCTTAGTTTTGCCGGAAAACACAATTTCACTGAAGATAATGCAATTTTTGGTTTTCGCGGGAAATTGTAGTTTATTTTTTTTTGTAGGAAAGCGTGATTCTGGGCTTGACAAGAAAATGATTTTTTTTTTTTTTGCAGGAATAGACAATTTCTCAGTTTTCGCAGGAATTTTTTTTTTTTGATTTTGGCGAGAAAATACAATTTCTTTTTTTGGTTTTTGCAGGAAGATGAAATTTTTTGGTTTTTGTAAAAAAACGTAATTTCTCGGCTTTGGTGGAAAAACACAGGTTCTCGTGGGAAAATGAAATTTTAGGTTTTAGGTTTGACGAGAAAATGAATATTTTGATTTTGGTGGGAATTGCCGATTTCTCAGTTTAATGGGAAAATGAAGTTTTTTTTTGTTTTGACGGAAATTGCGATTTTTTTTATTTTTATAAGAAGATGAAATTGCTATGTGCTAAATTTCCAAGTTAAATTATTTTTACAGTAACCAAAATTTAATTATTTAACTTTAACTAAAACGGTATTTTAAGAGTTCAAACATAATTTTCTATTTAGTTCTAAAGCAATGGCAATTGTTTTGATATGAATGTTATTAATTATAGTTTGATAGTTTTAGAAACATATGTTATAATAAAATATTTGATAAATAAATAAATTTTATAATTCAAAATAATCATATTAATTAATAAATCTTTTTTTAAATGATATTTTGTTTTATATAATTACAAAAGAGGATCATGTGGTAATTTATTAGAGAAAATATATTACATTTGCCATGAGCATGAAGGTACTAAAAATGTATTGCTTTATTATTATATATATATTTATAATTAGTTAGCTAACTAAATTTAATAGCAAATTATAATTTTAAAAAATAAAAAAAAATATAATGTTTATTCAGATTTAAAACATATAAATAGATAATTTAAGCTAATAAAAAATGAATATAATATTCATTTACATTATAAAAATAATTTTATTATATTAAAAATATATATAAAATTTAAAAATATATTTTGCAACATAGCGGATAAATACATAGTTAAAGTAGTTAAGTTCCTCTGAAACTCAAAAGTAAAGATAAGGAAAACACGTGGCGTGTCTGGATTTGGTAGAATATCAACCAGAGAGGAAAGGGAAGAAGGGGAATAAAAAAAAAAAAAGAGAAAAGAACAGAAAAAAACGAACGGTGCTGATAAAAAGTCTTAAAAGCGTAAAACCTAATCTCTCAAATCGCAGACGTTCTCCTCTCTCTTCTTTTCTCCAGCGTCCGATCAATCTCTCCCCTCTCTCGATCTCCCTCGCATCCTCCTCCTCCAATCAACAGCCTCTCCCCTCTGTTTCACTCCCGCCCTTTTTTCGAATTCTTCTGGTAATCCATCTCTCTCGTCTCTCTCTCAAGTCGCCGATTTGCTGTTTCATCTTCGATTTTTCGTTTTTTTTTTATATATCTAATATGCCTTTGATTTTCTTCCTTTTCTGTATCATTTGTGTTGATGGGTTCTGAATGTTGTGAGGATTTTAGGGTATCTCTGAGATGGCGGAGCCTCAGGCCAAGAGTCCCGGTGGCTGTGGAAGCCATGAGAGTGGCGGAGATCAAAGCCCGAGGTCGTCGCACGTCCGTGAGCAAGACAGGTTCCTTCCGATTGCTAACATAAGCCGTATCATGAAAAGAGGTCTCCCTCCTAATGGTAAGATCGCTAAAGACGCCAAGGAGATTGTCCAGGAATGTGTCTCCGAATTCATCAGCTTCATCACCAGCGAGTATGCCTTTTTCCTTTCTTTTACATATAACTTTTTAACAGTATTTGATTCTTTGTCATGTAATAACATTTCGATTTTTTTGCGCCCCTGTTTTCGAAAAGTCTTGAACTTTATGGTGATTCGTAAGTCCACTTGTGTACTTTGAGATGTTTGGGTTCTTGGTTGAATGAAAGTTGAGGTCTTTTAGATTAAATCCTTTACATTGGTTGCTTTTTCTTGTTTGTACTTCTTTGTTTTGGCTTCTACGTTTCAGATTTTTTTGTTTGAGAGATATGTTTGATTGATGCTTTGGTGTGGTTTTGATGAGCAGAGCGAGTGATAAGTGCCAAAGAGAGAAAAGGAAGACCATTAATGGAGATGATTTGCTTTGGGCAATGGCCACTTTAGGATTTGAAGACTACATCGAACCACTCAAGATTTACCTGACGAGATATAGAGAGGTAATGTTCTGGTTTCTCCATTTTCCAGCTTCCATCGAATCAATTTCCATTTCCAGAAAACAAAGGATACAGATTCATTAGTAATGCTGTTACCTGAAGAGAGTTTTTGAGTTTTCAGTCACTCACTATGTTGTTGTTTCTGTTCTTTTTGCTTTTTCAACCACGTGAATTGGAAAATTGCAGATGGAGGTTAGTGGTTCTTCTCTTCTGTTTCTTTTTCATTCATAATACTTATAAAAAGATGGTTTTCGAGAATCAAACTATTGTATCAAATTACTGATGCCTTCGCTTATCTTTAGGGTGACACAAAGGGATCAGCAAAAGGCGGGGATCCGAATGCAAAGAAAGATGCCCAATCAAGCCAAAATGGCCAGGTTCATGTCTAAAAATCTCATGCCTTTGTAACAATTTTGTCTCTGCATATTCAAATATTTTATCTGCACATTTCGTCTCTTTGGCTTTAGCTAGACGTGATTTAGTCTGACATGATGGAGTGTGTGTTATACCATGTGGCAGTTCTCACAGCTTGCTCACCAAGGCTCTTACTCACAAGCTCCTTATGGGAACTCTCAAGTAAAGTCTCTTCTCTTCTCTTTCACACTCATAGATCAATGGTCATTTCTTAGTTACAAACATAGCAACACATATCAGCCAGTGACTTTGAGTTTAAAATTGATGATTATCCTTGAGCATTAAGAGTGTTATGCATACCGATAGTGATGTTATGATGAAATATGATTCGAAACTGAAAACTTCGAAAAGCATCATTTGTGTTATTCTATTATATATAACATGAGAAGATGTATGAACTAATTTTTTTTTGTATGACTTGTATGTAATGTAGGCTCAGCACATGATGGTTCCAATGCCTGGCACAGACTAGTATGATGATGGTTCCAAAAGGGCTTGTCTGTATATTATTTGTGTTGTAACGAAGAGTTTTGGCTATGCACAACTGTGACAATAATCATCTCATTGTTCTTTTTTTTGTTTTTTCCGTTGGATATGTTCTGAAGATGTCAAGAAATTCATCTATATATTTCGTTTGTTGGTTTCTTGGATTATTATTTCATGCAAGACTAGAGCCATTAATATTTGTTTTTTAAGTACCATAGATCATAAGCCAAAAATTATCTAGCGAAAACTTATTTGTAAAATGTACCTGCTCTGCTCGATGGATTATGATGATAACGTAGAAACTTATATAATCTGTTGTTCCTTAAGTATAGTAAGAACCCGTATAATCTGCAATCTTTTATAGTAATAACCCAAAAAGAATTTAGGTGTTTCTTGTTATTGTAGTTACAGTTGTTATTTCTGTGACGGCGTTATCTGTTAAAAAAAGTAAAGATTAACAAATACACGCGGAATGATCTAACGGTCACAAATCAATGGATTACGTTAATGTCAGGCCCACACTTCGGTTAAGACTTTAAACCAAAAATGAAAAAACCCTCGATAGTCGAGATTACAAAGCACGCCGCTATTTTTTCCGTTTAAAAGAAAAAACGAAACTAATTTCAGAAAATTAATAATAACAATTAACAAAGAGATCAATAAAAAGAAACCGCCGGTTTTTGCTTCGTTTCAAATTCTTCTTCTTCTTTGCTAAATCTCGAGCGATACAAGGTACTTTTTGATTTTTCGTCAAAAATCTCTCTTCATATGGGAGACAACGATGACTGGAGAAACGAGCTCGATATCGCTGGGCTTAGTCTGATCGATGAGGATGATAACCTCCTCATATCGTCGTTTCCCGATCCCACCGGCTATGAATTTTCAGGTAATCCGATCTCTTTGCCCATTTTGGGTTTCTCGTTTCGATTTGGATTTGATTATGGAATCTTTCGTTAATTTCATAATCTCATTGCTTGATTGTATAAGATAAACAGTAGTTAGCTGAAGAATTTTCTGGGAAGCTTGGATTTTTTTGTCTGGTTCATGATTGTTCAATGTGGGGGGTTTTATGATTTTTTTTTCTTGCGTTCGTGACTTTTTTTTTGTAATTGATCTTAACATCTTGCTTACACTCTCTGATGATGTATTTAGACACTGAGAAAGAAGACAGAGGTCTTAATCTATTTGGGGATACACATGATTGTGATGAAGAGAGACTGGTCTCTACTACTGTAGAAGGAAAGGGGGAAGAAGAAGAAGTGATTCAGCCTCATGAATCTCGTGAACCTCATAAGATGGTGATGAAGTATAACCTGCGCAAAAGTCTTGCCTGGGACAAAGCCTTTTTCACCAACGCAGGCAAGTTTTTTTTTATTTTTTTATTATTGCTGTTTTCTGTGGATTTGCATGTATTCAGTAGCGTTGTTTTGGTTTTTGGTTTTTGCTGAGAGACGTTGTTTGTCGAAATTCAGGAGTTCTGGAACCTGATGAACTGTGCGACATGATCGAAAGCAATCATATGGGTGAAAGGAAAACTTTACCGAGCATTCAAGAGGATGTGAACAGATCAACGGAGTCCATGTCTACATTGCAAAGTGACTGCACTGTGGAGACCAGTCAGGATTATGTTTTGTTTGAAGATGTAAGAGCGTCAATCTCAAGGTCTGCTATATCATCTCCTGCAAAGAGTAACGAATCTGGAGAGAGAGAGGCAGCACCTAGCCCAAGTAAGCTTTCTTTATATTGAGTAGAGACAGTGATGAACATGAACTAGCTTTTGCATTTTTGAGTGGATATAAAGGGTTTCTGATATATGATCATTTTGTGTAAATCCTAGTTAATATCAATTTGACCAACTTATACATTTCTCATTTGAAACTTGTAGCTACAAGCACGCTAGACGACTCTAACTCTCAGGAAAAGGTAAGTCTCAAAACAACATTAGGCTTTGGTTTGATCTTTTCACTCCCTCCCTGATGAAAGATGTGTTTGTTTTGTTTGGTTCTCAGATGGAACCCAGTGCTATTCGTAAAAGGCCGAGTATCAGGGCACAAGGAGTAGGGAAGGTGACAAAGCAGGTATACTGACGACTCTCTGTATATGCTTGTGTTGTTAAAGTATCTGATAGAATGAGATTAATAGATTTGTCAGTAGTAGGAACTGTTGAGCTGGACTAATGAATGCGAACTGAATGTGTTGTCTTCTTTAATCTCTATTTCGTCTCACCTCAAGCTGAACCATTAACATGAATGTAAACTGATATATTAATCTTTTGTTTATACATTTTCTACAGCTTGTTGCTGCAAAGGAACACAAAAGATCCATTTCCGAGCCACCCTATGGACTCAGCAAAAGTGTAAGAGCTTCGGTGGATGTTAACAAAACCAAACAGGAAAACAATCCCAAACTAACTGGAGGTTATTCAGAACTCTTTCTTAAAGATGTCGAACATGTCTTTTCGAACAATCTCTTCTTTTTGTCAGAACTCAGAACTGTTTCTTTTTTTTAAAACCAAACAGGTAAAGAGCCATTGGCTCCCAGAGTTGCATTGTCAAGGAGGATTCGACCCATTGTAACAAAACCTGTAGTGCCTGATATACGTTCTTCAGTTGCCTCCAAGAATGAATTGACATCTTCTTGCTCTTCACTCGAGAGCTGTGTCAGCTTTTCGTCAACCGCTTCTAACAAGTCTTCTCTAAATCCGGTAAATCAGAAGAAAGCTCAGAGTTTAAGAATAGCTTCTCCTGTTTTGGCAAATGGATCTACATCCAGAGCTGCATCTAAAAATATAGTCCAGCCTAGAGTTCCATCGCTCGCAGCCAGTAGGACATACAAGTCCAGGCTTGCCTCCATTGTATCACCTCTTAGTGCTTCCGTTGACTGGTCATTTAAATCACCGCGACCTTCTACACCTAATAAAATGGTTAAAGGTAGCAAGAAAACTGCTTCTGGTGAAAGAAGTCCGGCAGTTGATGATACGACACAGACCTTGAAGCCTCTCAACAGTTCTAAAGATGTATCTGCTGTCCAAGTTGACCCTAAGTCAGAACAACAAGGCAATAAACGTTGTTCAGCTGTCAATGGTTCAGCTTCCATGGCGAAACCAACAGGACTCCGTGTGCCATCACCAAAGGTCGGCTACTTTGACGGAGTAAGTTCCCAAATTAGTGAAATTTCATGCATAGGAGCTATGAAGTAAACAGAGAAAGATCTTGCAAAGCAATTATAGTTTGCTTTTTTGTTTATTGAAACATATCTATGTGGAATCTCAATATGTGTATGAATTGTTGTGGCTAACAGGCGAGGAGCAGCGTTGCACGAACACCCACAGGACCTTGTACTGGTCCGGTAAGTGGCTTGGGAACAGCTGCTAGTAGGACAAAGCCTGGAAAGTCCCAACCCGCAAGATCTCCTCTTATACAAGAATCCACAAACGCTAAATTAAAGGCGAGTCCTGTTTCAAGGAGTCCGAGGCTGATTGTCTCAGCTTCTGCGTCTTCTCCAAAGCTTACCAACAAAATGTATTCGAAAGTCAGTGCAGAAGAACAACTCAACGGCAATGCGGAGGAAGGTTATCAAGCACAGTGATGAAGCCAAATCAACTTCTTATTACTACCATAAGCTATGAGGTTATGACCAGATAGTCAAGGTGCTGTCTCGTGTATAGCTTTGATTTGCACTTGTTGTCTGGTTAGTTAACATAGTTTGTTATATTATTCTGTTGTTGTGGGTCTAAGTATGTCTTTGTATCCGGAAACATCAAAGTTCAGCTTCATAAATGTTGATCAGAGTTTCAGCTTAGTCAATAGCAAAAGAAGCAAAAGATAGTTCACACTACATTTTAGGCAACATGTCTCTACATACTGAAACTTACGAAAGACAAAGCAGCGAATATTACAGACATCAATGGTAGCTTTCTTTTTTCTGTTTCGTACTCAGTTATCACTTCTGACTCTTCTTCAGTAACACACCAAACTTCTTTAACATACTCCCATTCTTCTTCTTCGGCGAAGACAAATCATCATCCATTTCATCCATATAAGGCGACATGTTCACGTTCCTCCTCAACGGACTCTCCAGCGATCCCGTTCTCTCCACGTACTTGCCGTTACTGTTATTGTTGTTGTTACCACCAGAGAGCATAGAAGCCGCTGCTTCAGCTGCTTTCCTCCATTGATCACACTGAACCTTGAGTCTCCTCAGCTCAGCTTCTAGCTCCGTGTTGGTGACTTGTGCTGCCCCTAGCTGTTCTGTTGCGTTCTCTGCTCTCTTCCCGCTCTTATCCGCTTCTTCCGTCAGACTCCTTAGCCTCGCTAAAGCCTCGTCGATAGCCTTGTTCTTCTCGCTCTGCATCTCCTCCATCTCGCTCCTGAGACTCTCGTTCTGCGACATTACGCTCTGCAGCTCCATCTCCTTGTCCATTAGATTCGCTCTCAACTCCATCAGATCGGATTCTAGCTTCTTGAGTTCGTCCGTAACCTCAAGCTCTTTCTGGTTCAAGCTGTTCTCCAAGTTTACTTCTTCTGTTTCTTTGATTTTCAAGTTCAGTAGTTCGTTTTCATCCGCCAGTATCCTCAGCTTAGCTTCCTTATCCATCAACCGTTCATGCAAAGCCTCTCTTTCAGCTTTGGCTCTCTTCAGGTCTTCTCCTAACTCGGCCTCTCTCTGCGCATATCCGGATTTTACTACCTCGACTTGTTCGTAAGCAGTTCTTATCTGCAGCGTGCTCTGGATATACTCTTCGTGGTACCTTCTCTCAGTTACTTCCACAGCAGATTTCAATTGGCTAATCTCATGCCTTGCAGCATTGATCTCTTCTTTGAGCTCTTCCATTGATGCTGAGTCTTCGAGGGTGTTTCCTCTAGCTTCATCTTCTTCCTCGAGTTGTCTCACGAGCTGCTCTAGTGACCTGACCTCGGATTTGGACTGCTCTAGCTCGGTTGTAAGGGAGTTACAAGCTTCAGACATCTTCATCCCATCCGAACGCAACATCTCGAGCGTCAAGTTCGCTATCTCTAATTGCTTTTCGGTTCCCGAAATAATCTCATGCGCGCGAGCTTCCCCTTCCTTCGCATCAAACAGCTCACCTCTTAGGTTCTCAACGAGAGACAGTGTCTCGTTGAGTTCCATTCTCAAGTCCTCAACAGACTCAGATTCAGAGAGCTGTGCTTTCAGTTTCTGGACCTCGTTCATGGCAGAACCTAGAGCAGCGGAATCCATGGCGTGCTGTCTCTGCATTGCTTCGAGTTCAGACTGCCACGCCTTGTCTCGTTCTTGAGAGAGCTTGCGAAGCTCGTCGATTCTTGAATCCTCAGAGGCGTTGATCTCCATCAACTGCTGCTTTGTCTCCTCTGCTTCATCTTGAGCTTCCTTCTTCGAAGCTTCAGAAGCGCTTAGCTGTTCCTTTGCTCTCTTTAGCTCCTCTTGAAGCTGAGATAACTGAGATGCTACTTCCGGTGTTCTCCCTGTGCGCTTCTTCTGAATCTTGCATACATGAAACAACAACGAATATAAACAACTTAACTACGGTATCAAAGCATCACATTTACACATATCAAGCAACAAGCCAACAATACTAACAAACAGAACAAAGACATTTCACCTGCAGCTGTTCAGAATCAACACATAAGAAACACATAGACAAACTCAAACACCTAAGAGTGCTTAGCAGCAACAAGATTCAGTCCTAAGCTCTCGACGACACAAACTAAAAGTATTGTGCAAAGCTAATAGTACCTCATTAACAGGGGTTCTTGGAGAACGACGATCAGCAACTACTTTCGGGCTTTGAGTCTTCGGTGTCCTCATCTTTGGGTTTGGAGACGAAACAGTGTCGGTTTCTGCAGTTTTGAGCTTACGAGCAGTTCTAGGAGTTGTTGCAGGAGATTTCTTCTGAGGCACCTCCAACGTTCCAGGCCTATCATTTTCACAATACCGTAAATCAAACAAACGAATGAAGCAAGTACAAGACGAACCATTGAAACAGATCACAAGACTTCAAAATCCACAACCAACAATCCAGTAACCACATCAAAGACCCTAACAGAACACACAACAGAGAAATATTTGGACAAGAGTGAGGATTATCACCTAGGTTTTGGAGTCTGCATTGCTTGGGTCTAGAGGTTTAAAACAACCCCTTTTGCGTATATGATTCCGTTGAAGAAGGAACCTGGTAAAAAGAACAGGAAGAGAAACTATGTGTGTGAGAAAGAAAGCACAAATGAGTATTATAAGATTATCATTAAGCATATACAACAAACTCAACAGAAGTACAAAGCTTAAGCAAGTGTACAAAACACATAAAAGCCCTAACAAACTAAACTACACAAATACATTAACTTCAAAGAGACTCCATTTGAAACTAACTACCACTACCACCAAACCAAGGCAACAAGACAAACATAAAAAGAAACTGTTCACGGTCAAAGATAAAGGAAATTAAAAAAGGGAGAAGTTTCCATCAGTGTGATTCTTCAATCTAATCAACAAGATAAACCCAATTACAAGCAAAGAAACTAAATTTATATCCCACATTTCAAACTTTTTTAGTTGTCAAGTCATCAGTTTTGGATTTTGTTTCTCTTCAAAATTTGGAATCTTTTGGGGAAGAAAAGAACAACTTTCTGTCATTTAGTTAACGGTGGGTTCTGGTTTTATTAGGTGTAATTTCCCCAAAATAGAATAACAGATCTTAAAAGAAATCACCAAGTAAATAAATTTGAATTCAAGCCTACACAAGAACATGTCTTTGGAACTTAATTTTGAAAAACATTCTTTCAAAAACAACAGAAACACTTTGCTTTTTTTCCTGGAAATTATTATTATATTGTTTTTGGCTGAATCTTCAAGCCAAGAGAAAAGCTGTCTAATTTTCAGAAGAGAGTAAAAATAATGAACTCAAACCCCTCAAAAAGATAACTCATTCAAACCCAGAAAAATAAGGGAAATAATTAAGTGTTTCGAAGAAATTTTTTTTAAAGAAACAGATCAAAACCCAAATTACTCTACGGGGAAAGCTTTTGAAAGCTAATTCAAAGAAGAGAAACAAGTAATTGTTTTTGATGTTCTTCACCTGTAAAATGTGGTTTTAGTTGCTTCTTCTTCTTCTGGTCCGGAAACAGAGAGATCGGAGATGCAAGGAAATGTATTAAAAAAAATAAAAGATTGCAGAAAACCAAACTCCAGGAGGCTTAGTTAGACCAATTGAGCTTCGGACATCATCTTCTTCTTCTTCCTCTCTCTTTGTCCCTAGTGTTGTTCTCTCACTGACTCTGCTCGTTTCCCAAGTCTTTTTCTTTTTTCCAGTGAACTGTCTATTTGTTCACATTAATATCCAGAAAGAGAAAAAGAGACTATGAAAAAAATAGAATTCGGTGAAATCATTATTTTACCCCCGCACCTTTTGTTTTATATCATAATAGTCCCTCTTTTATTTACCCCTTTTGTTTTATATCATAACAAATTCATAGTAGATGTTAACGGTTGAATAGTTCATTTGAGGTTGGAGTTATGAGACACTTCATATGTCTAAGGATTAGTTTGGGATTAGGCTTTAAATCCATTAGATGATCAGAATTTTTTAGAGCATGCTTACATACAAAAAGTATCAAACGTTCCAAAGGTTATTTCTGCGGTTTAACTAGCTGGTTAATATTTTTTCATTGATCAACATCTTTAATCTTTTGGCAACAAAAAAAAAATCTTTTAAAAATGGAAACCACCTAGATACAAAAGATCAACAGAAAATGTATTGAACTAGAACACAATAAGAAGCACCATTACTGAAAATTGAATTCCCAACAACCTCCAAACAATTTCTCATATAAGTCTGATGTTTTTGAAAGCTCATATAAATTGCACAACAACAACAAAAAACACATTTCATTCTTCATCAGATTAAGCTCAAACTTAGTTGGAATTTTGTTTTTTTCCATTAGTTCCTTCTAAAATCGTCAGGAAAACCAATGATATATGAACAATTCTCAGGGAGATGAGCTTGTTCAAGGAGAACAGTTGGTGTAGAGAGACAGCATGTTCAACAACTTCTTCGCTTACAAGTTTATTATATTTGTACTTGTTTAGCATAATTTCTGTTTATCGTTTCTTTTTGATCATTTCTAAATTTTAACCGTATATCCATCATTCTCCTTTTCATGCCAACAACAAAAAATTCAATATAAAACGTTAAACTATTTGTCTAAAAGCATTATAGAGTATATAGACCACTACAATGTTGTCAAAAAAATTACAAAATACAATAAAATTAAGATGCGTTCACGACAATGAAAATACTGTAGGAAAATATGTGAAACCTTGACCATTAATATCCACTCCATCCCCACACCTATCCATCCCACGAGAAGTGTATTCACTTTGAAGAAACGAGGAGGTAAACAGTAACAAGAGATATGTAACTAAAAAAAGTGATATTCAGTTACGCGCCAGAGTCACGTGACATTGTTTGGCCTCATATTCCCCTAATCCTACTTAATTATTTAATTGCTAGTTGCTACTACTTGCTAACGGTAATGTTATGAGTCACAGTTCCCTAAATAAAGAGATTTAGGATGCATTTCTCTGTATACTTTAATACTAGTATATATTAACTCCCATCTTCTACCTTTTTCGCGAAAATGATGCACCTAATCCCTCGGTACAGTTTTTTTTTTTTTTTTTTTAAGGTTTTTTCTTTTCAATAGAGTTTATTTGAATCACATTGTTCTCGCATTTACACTATCTCTCGTTCATGCATCATAATCACATCAATATTAGATCTAGCAACATAAAAATAAGACTTCTTCATAGTTTTATTCGCTACTAAAACTATCAAAATTAGTATCATAAAACTATACAAAGCCAACTCCACTTTTAAGTTTAAATTATTCAACCAATGAAAAAAGATAAGTCGACCTTCTAATGTCAAACTGTTAAGTTAAAATAGACTACCACTGATCCAACAACCACATATATATATATATATATATATATATAACTGCCTTTGGAAAACAAAAAGTGGACAGTGGACTCTTGAAATCGAAAAAAGTTAGGTTGGAGGAAATTAAAGCCCATGGATTAATTCGTTTTGTTTTATGTTTGAGTTTTAAAATTCTTTATACTTGAGTTAATCTTTATAATTAGTTAATAGTAGTAGAAGAAGTAGTTTGGGAGTCCATGCATTACTGTTTTGATCTTTTCGGGGATCCTAGGAATTCCCAGTTGCCACCGCAATAGGTTACCGGGAGATAAATGCAACCTGCATATTTATTATTTTAATTCATATACTATATGGTCGTGGTATGTAATTTGATTTTCGGACATTGATATCACAAAATTTTGGTCGGTCCATGTCCCTCACATTACATTTAAAGAGTTTCATTGGGACTATTATTCCATGTGCACATGCTGTTTTGACGCTGTTGACCTTGACAGTCCATATATAAAATAACCAAATTCTCTATACTTATTATAGATGCGACTACAAATATTGTGACTTATGAGTAATGTAAATTAGATGAACAACAAACAGAGTATGTAAACTGAAAATTAATATGCATACTACATTGTATACAGTATACTATAGATTACTGAATTTAGTGAAACTCAAACATGAATATGCTCGGCTTTGGTGATAGAAGTACTCTCCCGAATAAAGGATCATTTTTTTCAAGAAATACAAATGGTATGTATTATGTAACAACATTTTACACGATGTTACCAATTTTGCTTGTTAGAGAATTCAAAAATACGTTCATATTTATCTTTCTATTTTTTTTTATAGCAATGCATAATTTTTTCTTGCAAAATATATTAACCTGGACACAACAAGCTACTTCCTATCTTTCATACTATTTTTCAAAAATTCACATTCTTGTAAAAAAAAACTATAACCAATTGTTTCCTAATCACTATGATAAACGTTGATGTTATGTACGTTGCATGTAAAATGGATACCAAATTCATACATTATATTGCACATGCAGTCACACGAATCCAATACATTATATATAAAAAGCCTGTAACAATATAAACTTGTTCATCGAGTTCTTTTTTCAAGATCTCATCTCAATCATTTTAGCGAATCCATACTTGAAATATATATATGGACACCTTTTGGACCATGTCCTATGGAATCGTCAGGATATTCATGACCAAACACTTGTGCATGTGTGTTATTAGATTAGTGTAATGTACTTGTTGCTTCGCTTGGAAGTAACATATTCATTATTTAAATAGTTTATCCTTTAAATTTTAATCAATGATCCACGTGATTAGAAAGTTCAAATCAGCAACTAATTAAAACAATAAAAAAAAACACGGTTTCATAGGTTTTGGCTGAGGCAGTAGCAATTAGCAAAGCTATAGTTCCCTTGGTCTCTTAATTACGTTGGTTTATAAGAGTCTCACAATTTTTCATTTTCAGTCAATTTCGATATACGTCGATAGCCAAGTTGCGATTCACATTCGCAATAATCCAGAAAAGAAATAATAAGATAAACGTTGCGGTTGAGTTTCATTTCGTCCGTGATAAAATCATTAATGGCATGCTTATCACCGATCATGTTCCAACTCATTCACCAATGGCTAATATATATTTTAAGAATTCTTGGCAAATTTCGAAATTCTTTTTAACCAAATAGGTTCATGTACACCATCTTGATATAAGGTACTACCGAAAATTTATGTATCGCGTCTCTCTCTCATATACAAAAAAATTGTTTAAACTCTGTTTTGTGATAGATCCAAAACCCAACGATTGATTGTTTTTTTTTGGGGGTCTTCTGTGATGTATAAATCGGAAAAAAAGAAGGAAAAAGACTAATTTGAAAGAGATTAGAATAAAGTAAAGCAAATCATGTGTTTAAATGTGTTCTTGTTGGAAAATTGAGACGCCAAAGCATAATCTTAGAACAGTCTTGCGCCGGAAGTCCCTTCAACTTCGAATCATCCTCCAAAACCACTTGCTTCACATATTTAATCGAATCCTATGCAAAATATTTTAAGAAAATTATATATATAGTAGAAAAAAAAACAATTACGTATCATGTGAAAGATGATGATTAATTATACCGAGACTTACGCAATGTCATGTGTTTATACTATAGACGATCCTTCTCTTTACAATTAATAAGCTTATTTAATCAAATGATTAACGGAATCAATTAGGTAGAGTAATTTAGCAAAAATGACCATATATATATAAGCTCTATCTTACATAATTAGCAAGCAGATCTTATAGAAATAACAAAAGAAGAAGCTCAAGGTACCTGTTTGGTGCCTTCAACAGAAGAAGGACGACCCCATCTCTCAGGGTCCCAAAGTATTGAGCTATTGAAAGCAAAGCTTGATATATGAATCGGAGGCTTTGTCTCTGTCTCATTATTAATATTTCTCAAATGCCATCCCAATACTTGTGAAGATTCACAAACCGGCCCCTCTACTATCACTCGTTTCCTATTTGCCGATAGCAACGCCATTGGCCAAGTTCCGAATACCCTGTTAACAAACAAATCATTTTAAATTTAATGAAAATGTTGTTAGAGAATATAGACATAACACTTGTTTAGTTTAATTACATACTCGATATCTCTGATCTCATCGAAAAAATCAAGATCATAGATGTTGTTTAGTCCCGCGAAATGGACTATCCCGCTTAATTTGTGATGCTCGATGTGTCTCAACGCTAAGTTCCTCTGATGATCAAGCTCTGATTCCAAGCTCGTGAAGTTTTCCTTGAAGACTATACGTCTATACATGAGACCAGTCTTTCTTAACATTGTAGATGAAGAGTACTTTTCTTCAGCATCAGCTTGTTTCTCCACGACTATCCACAGTAACGGAGGCGGAACTAGCCTCAACGTATTGGCCATTCGCCTAAGAAGAACGTTTTTGTAACGATCTTTCGTCATTACCGGAGTTACAACAATCACTAGACCTCTTGGTGTCACTTCTTCTTCTTCTGTCTCGGAGAGCGATCTGGTTTCTGGTTCGGCTTCTCGTGACTCCGAAGGAGCAGGGGCTTGGACTTGGGAATTAATCAAGGCTTTATCAACGAGAGAATTGGGTGTATAGGTAAAGTTTTGAAAAGGTTGGGGAGGAATCTGAGATTTGGTAGAAGTAGAGGGGGTGGTTTGAAAATTAGAGAAAAACGAGGCCTTACCAGCTGGAGCAAGTCCAGTGAAGAAACCCATTACAAAACATAGAGAGAAATGAATCACAGCTTTCTTCCATACTTGAACTTTCTTCTTTGATCCCATTAGGACCAAACCTTCTGTCTGGGGAAGAGAGTTTCTTTGATCCCTTTTTTGGAGGGGAGAACATTGCCTGAAGATTGTGATATATAAGAACTTTACGACGATTGTATAGTTTTTTGTCTTTATATTTTTTGGTGTGTGATTGAAACTGGTGAGCTAAGGTAAGAGAATTATGCTGTATGATGATTGCTTGTGTCGGTTGTGTTCTGCAACAACCAGTTGTTGGGATTGTAACGCATTAGCTGAAACATGTTTGGGAAATAAAAGAAAATCATTGCTAATAGCATTAGCAGATATATTAAAATAAAACTTTGCTTACTAATGAATCTTAATGCTACTTATTCTTCTTGTAGTGGTTGCGATGAGTAAAGTTATTATTAAAATGGGAAATAAATTTTGGCGTCGATGTATTGAGCAGTAAACTAGATTAGTTCGGTTGAATTAAAGATGGGATCATCAAATAGGATCGAACACAAACTTATCAACTGTAGTATCGTTTGTTTGAGAGACAAAACATTGACAACACTTATATTCTCATATTTGTTTAATCACAATAGTGGTTCTTAAGTAGATTACATCATCTTTTATAAGTGGACTATATTGGTTAGGGGTATATCATAATTTTTTTTATCTGACCGGCATGTATTGGGCCGATAACCTTGGTGTGCTTTAATTTAAGTGATGGGCGGGATCCAAAATACTTTTTTTTTTTCAAACTGATAATCGCTTTTGGTTTTTAATTTTATTTTGACAATATATTATAACCTTGTTAGAGTACCCACTACTTAATATATAGGATGTGTTCTAATATTTGAATGGTGGCCAGTCGAAGAACAAGTGAAATGAGGAAGAATGTATGTAGAGTAGAGGAAGTGAAACAGAGAATGTAATCAACAATTACAATTACAAACTTTCAAATAACAGTATTAGATAAATTATGATGAGTAGCTTGGAATTTAACGTCATATCGTCCATATATAATTCACTTGCATAACATGCCATTTTGATTACAAGCATGCCAGTAATATATGAATATGATTGATATCATGCTCTTTGGTGGAGAAAAATCATTTTCTTGGCGTTATATCAAGAGATTTGGATACATAATACAAACATGTCATTATGATTAATGTCATGCCATTTAAGCAGCCGTTTTGTGTTATATCACGATACTTAGATACATATTTCCTATCCTAACATTGTCTTTGTTTAATTTAAATAAGCATGGTTGTGCATCTGTTGCAAATTCACGTAAGATCAGTTACTTTCAATATTCCGGATTTAAATACAATATTTTATTTTTCAAAAAATTAAACAAGAAGATTACCTTGGTCCAACTGAACATGCATATCAATTCATGGTATGTTATGATACCATGTACACCATCAATTAACAAGAAGTTAACTGTATTAATGGAGTAGACAATTATTCCACAACATTCAACATGAAACTATTTTGTAATATATATATATATATATATATATATATATATATATATATATATATATATATATATATAAGCCGCTAGCGGAAATCCATTGCCTATAGGAAAAAGATAACAAATTTTATCAACAGATTATGCTTTCGAAAAACATTGTCAAAATAAGTCTTCTAAATCTTTTGTAATAATATGAAAGGAAAAAGAAATATAAAAACCAGGAACTCTTATGAGTGATTTTAAACAAAAACGCATAACATAAAAAAATGCTTACATTGATCAAAAAAGAAAATGCTTACAATTGTTGAACCAAGATCTTTGAACCTCTTGGTGATTATGATCCCCTAACCCGACACTAAACCAAACCTCCACTTTTCATTCGTTGGCATGTGGTATCGTAAGATACGATTGCCTCGGGTGCTGAGTCACAAGATCGAGACAACAACATTAAGATATTACAAAGCATTTTTATCTCATTTAAACAACTTGTAGACAATGGGAAAACAAAAACAGAATATATAAAAATTCAGCATATTTGTGAGCTGGTTTTTTGTCTTGGGCCTACACCAATTGGGTCTGCATCATTAATTTGAAAAAAGCGAGGAGCGTGTATTTGGGCTATACAAGTTGAAGCCCATTCCACTGCACAATTGAAGAAGACGAAGTCGGCTGCTATTTATCGGATAAACGCAGAAGCAAAAGAGATAAAGAGAAGAGATTCACTTTGATTCTCTTCAATGCTATCATCTCCTGATTCTTCTAGGGTTGCAGTTTCATCTTATCAGCTATATATAGCTTGCGAGTTATCTCCAATAGTCTAGAAAAGACAAGTTAAGAACCTGTAACAAAAGAGAAGCAATCTCTGTTATTCTTTTGTGATAGTGCAAGCTTGAGAGTTTGGATCTCTCCCCAGACGTACCGTAAGGGAACTGGGTAAACAAATCTGTATCTCTATTCTCTTAACTCAAACAAATCTCTTCTTAGAACAATCAAATAATCAACAATCATCAAACAACAAAAAGCAAATTTCGTAACAAGTGGTATCAGAGCTGCTGGTTCAGCAGTAATAGAAGTGCGGTCAAGCACTCAAGTCTGTGTGTTGCAAGGTACGATCGGATTGCAGTGTTCATTGCTCTAAGTGCGAGTTAAGTAATAGAAGAAGAAACAAAACGTTTCTAGAGCATAGTTTCGGGGGATCAGCGCTGGTTGAAGACTGATTCGCAAGGAAACTATGGATCCCGTTCATAAGTTTGAAATGGAGAAGTTCGACGGCAAGGGAGATTTTGGCATGTGGAAATTCAAGATGCTTATGCAACTTGAACTGCAAGGACTCGGGAAGGTTCTGCAAGAAGTTACTCAAGCGTCTCCTTCTAAGAACAAAGAAATCGGAGTTGTATTACCGGAGACAAAACCTGAGAGTAGTCTCACGGAGGACGTCAAGAAGGATAAAGACATAAGAGCAAAGAACCTGATATGTTCGAGTCTATCGAACATGGTCTTGAGAAAAGTAATGAAAGAATCTACTGCCGTAGATGTTTGGAAAGTGCTTGAAAGAGAATATCAAGCAAAGATTCTATCTAATCGCATTTACCTAAAGCAACGATTCACCAGTTTCAGGATGGAAGAACACAAGAGCATAGAAGAAAATATGGACTTGTTCCTGAGAATGGTAGATGAGTTAGAAAGTCTTGAGATCGTGGTAACAGACGAAGATCAAGCAGTGCAAGTACTGTCCGGTTTACCTAAAGCTTATGCTCCACTGGTACATACTTTGAAGTATGGTAAGCGTGAGGGGCCTATAACACTTGAAGAAGTTGTCACATCGGCAACAGCTAAAGAGATTGAGCTTCGAGAGGCAAGACTTTTGGGTAAATCACGAAGCGAAGGAGAAGGACTCTATGCTGGTAAAGGAAAAACCGAGAAGAAGTACGAGTCTCACTCTAAGGGAAAAGGAAAGAGTAGAGACAAGTCAAAGTCTAAACATAAAGGCCAAGGAAAAGCCAGGGAATGTTGGACTTGCGGAAAAGAAGGACATTACAAAAGGGACTGTCCAGAGAGAAAGGCAAATGCAGCAAATGTCGCGGATAAACAAGAACCTATGGTGTTGACAGCAAGCCTACAAGATCCCAAGGATGAATGGGTGATAGATTCTAGGTGCACTTTCCACATCACACCAGATAAGAATGTCTTATTTGACTTTCAAGAAGTCGAAGGAGGCAGAGTGTTGATGGGGAATAACTCGGTCAATGAGATCAAGGGTATTTGTAAACTGAAGGTTATAAATCCAGATGGATCGATTGTGGTGTTAACAGAGGTCAGATATATGCCTACAATGGGGAGAAATCTGATTTCATATGGTCAACTAGAGAAAAATGGTTGTAAGTATCAGGGAGAAGACTTCAGAGTAAATTTTTTCAAAGAGGGAAAGAAAGTCATCACAGGAGAGTACAAGGATGGTCTGTACTATCTGGTAGGAACCGTTGCAAAAGGAATAGCAGCTGTAGCAAGGCCAAGTGTTGACACAACAAAGAGATGGCATTCAAGATTAGGTCACATGAGTCTAAAGTGTATGAACGTTCTGGTTAAAGGAGGATATTTCGACAAGAAGGAGGTTCATACTCTTGACTTCTGCGAAGAATGTGTGTTGGGAAAATCTCAAAAACAGAGTTTCCCTAAGGGCAAGCATACGTTTAAGGAAGTGTTGGAATACATACACTCAGATCTCTGGGGTTTACTAGGAGTGGAAGAGAGCTTGTCATGATGCAAGTATTTTATCACATTCATCGATGACTACTCGAGAAAAGTGTGGATCAGTTTTCTAAGAACTAAAGATGAAGCTTTCCAGAGCTTTAAGGAATGGAAACAGCTAGTGGAAACTCAGAAAGGGAAGAAAGTGAAATGTCTACGAACTGACAATGGACTTGAGTTTTGCAACAATCAATTCGACAACTTGTGCAAGACCTCGGGTATTAAAAGACATAAGACATGCTCCTACACACCACAGCAAAATGGTGTATCTGAGAGAATGAATCGGACCATCATGAATAAAGTAAGATGTATGCTGGCGGAAACGGGTTTTGGAAAGCAGTTTTGGGCAGAAGCTGCTTCTACAGCTGTGTACCTCATTAACAGGTCACCAACTTCAGCATTACAGTTTAAAATTCCAGAGGAAATTTGGACTGGTGGCGACATCAGTTTGGGACACTTAAGAAGGTTTGGCAGTGTAGCATACGTCCATGTTACACAAGACAAAGTCAGTCCGAGAGCAGTTAAAGGTTACTTCATGGGTTATCCCCAAGGAGTTAAAGGCTATAGGATCTGGATCCCGGAGGATGGCAAATGTACTACAAGTAGGAATGTGGTGTTCCACGAAGAACTTGTATTTAAAGATAAGAATCCTAAGAAAGCACCGGAAGACAGGAAGGGAAAAGCAGTTACTTTCGAGTACGAACAAGGAAAGAATAAGCTCATGTCAGAAAAAGCAACCTCAGGATCAAGGGAAACGCCGTTGGGATCAGATGAAGATTCATATGAAGAGGACAGCTCAGAGTCAGATTTAGGTGGAGCTACATCAGAAAAAGATAGCTCAGATTCAGATTCAGGTGGAGCTACATCAAGAAAGGATAGCTCAGAGTTGGATTCAGGTGGAGCTTCATCAGAAAGAGAAAGCTCAGACTTAGACAGAATGTCATCCGAAGAAGACAAGTCTGAATCGGAACAACTGCTGGAGCAGAAATCAAACCAAGAAAGCAATAAACCAGACTCTCTCGGGGATTATATCCTTACTCGGGATAAAGAATCGCGGATCAAAAAGCTGCCAGAGATCTTTACAAGCGGAGACTACGTCGTCTCGTATGCACTGTCATGCGCTCAGGACATTGAAATAGAAGAGCCAAGGACAGTTGCTGAAGCTATAAAAAGTAAGTACTGGAAGGAGTGGAAATAAGCGATGCAAGAGGAGATGGATTCTTTGTACAAGAACGAAACTTGGGAAATCGTCACTAAACCGGACAGGAAGAAAATAGTGGGATGCAAGTGGATTTTCAAGTACAAAGAAGGAATTTCAGGAGTGGAGCTACCAAGATTCAAGGCTCGACTGGTAGCAAAAGGATTCACTCAAATAGAAGGAATTGATTACAATGA